TATAAGAAAAGTTTTTTCAAAAAATTTTAATATGAAATAATATGAAATATTTTTAAAAACCTGAACGTTGATTTTAAAAAATTCAATAATTATATTATTTAAAAAATCAAACATAAAACAGATTTATTAAAAATCTAGTAAAATTAATAATTTAAAATGAATAACTATAATATTATTCCCATGATCTATCAATGATCTCATTAAGTATCATTATTTGCAATGCTTTCTCAATAAGATGTGACATCATCTAAACAGAATTTTTGCTTGTTTAATGTTTCTACTATTAAACATATATACAAGTAAGAATAATCGCGTGATATAACATCCTTAGAGAAAGCAATATTAAATTGTTTATACTATTAAAATATCTATACAAGAAATCGATGAAGTATTTTTCTTACTGAGATATTCTGTTATCTAATTATTTTAAGTTATCTTAATACAAATTGAAATTCTATTCTTTTATAGTTTATTTCATTATATCATATCAATTCTTTGTCTTATAATATTTGTACGATGTTTTAAAGTTAACTTCAATTTCTTGCGAAATTAGTTTTTCTTCCATGCGTTAAATCTTGTTGTGGAACAAAACTTCTTTATTTTTCAATCTGACTTATATAACGAATAACTAAAAGTGTTTTTCATTATTATTTTTTCGTAGATGAAAGACAAACCCCTTGATTCCAATCGAACTTAATCCACATGGATGGAGCGAGCCAGAAAGGCTAAGAATCTATCCCAAAAGTTGCCATCCTGGTTCTCAACTGCTTTCTCATCGAATTGCTTTCGATTGGGGACTGGATTAATTTTATTCTGGTCAAACGTGAGTATTCTGTTATTAAATACTTTATCAATGATTTATTTATTTTTTTCATTATTTCTTTTATAAGAAATTTATAATTAACTAAAAATTCTTTATTTTAATCGATTTTTATATATATTTTACAAATTTATTTTTTTTATTTAATTATACAATTAACGTATTTATTTATATAATATTTCGTTATTTCTTAGAAATTATATTATTGATAATGTATATGATCATCGTCTAAAATTGTTGAATAAATATTATTAAATGATGAAATTATAATAATCAATAATATAAATATAATAATGAAATTAAAATGTGCTAATTGGCACAATGGAAATCTATTCTAAACGGAAACCTGTTCTGATTAAGAACTTAAGATACGATAATTATTGCAATGCTATTTTTATCCCAAATATTATACGTCAACATTATCATGAAAGAAATATAATGAAGTAATCCAAGTTTTAAATACATACTGATTTATAAATTATACTTGCAAATATTCAGATTAAAATTTTGAGATCGTTTGACGTAATGTTATTAAAAAAAAAAAAAAATTATAAAATAATCTTATAGCTAATAAGAATACTGGTTTCTTGAAACTGCTTTGATTCAATCATAGATTTCTTGACAATCTACAGCATTCAACATATAAATTAAAGTCAGACATAAGTACAGTAAATTTACATACACGTGTATTATATATATATCTGAGTAAGACATTAAATAAGATTACAAATTGTTAATTGTTTAATATTTACATATCATATATTATGATAACTATTAAGAAGATAGCTATGTTAATATCTTAAAATTTTAGTTTAGATAAGAAATTATTTTATTAATCCTGATTAGAAAATATATAAGATATATGAAAATATACATTAAGATGAATTATTTTGGTTGTTGTTAACTTTCACAATTAATTTAATTTTTTGGATTATAAAATAGAAATATTTAGCAAGTAGTTTGTTTTCATAAGTTTTAAAACCTAAAATATTAAAAAATCTTGGGATAGACAAAATAGTCCTTAAATATATTATAATATATACCATGTTCAAAAAAAAAAAAATCAGTGAAAAATAAAGTAAATATATTTTTTTTATGTAAAAATCAAAAATTTATATTTCTAAAATCTAAAATCTCATTCTCAATTCATGAAACATTGTTAGTCATCATCTTTTCCCCAGTATAAAAATCTAAAACAAAATGAAAAACTCTTAACTGGATCTTTCAAACGTTGATTGGTACCGATTCTCGATGGTTTTATTTACAATCTCAATAATGATATCTCGGCATATATTTTATCGCGAAGGGTTGAATTTCTGTCTGCTATTATGTTCGTTAATTTATACATCCAATATATAGAATTAAAGCTTTTAGTTTAAAAATCCTCCACCGGATCAATTCCTCCTTAATACGATTTACGTGTTTCCCTCTATTGATACTCTATAAAAACCTGTATGTTTGATGAATTGCAGCGTGTGAAAAGTCTTGGATAATCGGGGACGAGGATGGCCAGGAGCAGCGGCTCTACAAACGCGCACCGGCGATGCACCGATCGCACCATCGTCGTTCATCGCGATGCCGTTGTCGCAGCTTGTAGTACGTCTGTTCGCGAATCACGATCGATCGGAATCGGGTACGATAGAAACGGCCACGGCACTGCTACCTCTGCCTACACTGGCTACGCTGCCAATTTCGATCAGGGAGAGGGCACGGTCGATTAGAGTCGCCCCTTTTGATACAACTGCCGAGCAGCACGTGATTCACGTAAGTTTCACGTTTGCAATAAAGCAAATTGGTATCTTTTTCATTTTTATTTATTTATTTTTTTTTTATTTTTCTCTTTATTCGTTGTTTGTTTGTTTGATTTTTCATTTGTTGGGCCAATCGAATAGGCAAGATTGAGATTTTTCTTCTCTTTGCTATTTTCCTCCTTCTTTCTTCTTTCGTGTTGATGGAAAATATCGAACGATCTCGTTTTTTTTTTTTATTTTTTTTTTTATTTATCGATATTGGATACTGTCAATGAGCATGGTTTTTTTTTTTCTTTGGAATTTCCGTCAAAAATGGATTTGGATTTTTGGATTTTTATGTGTTAAGCGAAGAATAATTCGATAACGATATTTAATTTTTGATACTTTCAATAAAATGTATTGTAAAGATTATAAAATATTTTATTTGGAAATTAATGGAAAGTAAATAATTTAGATAATTTATTTAATGACTTTATTTGAGCAATTATTTTTAGATCTTTATATTTTAAAAAGAAAATAATCTAATTAAGAAAAATTAATAGTTATCCAATTATTTAACTCAAATAAAATCAAAAAATATATAAAAAGAAAAAGCTAACAAAATTAATTAATTGTTCACTTCATATTTTTTCCAATTTTTTGAAATTAAAAAAAGAAATAAATAAAAGAAGAATTAAGATGTTTTAAAATAATGTTTAAAAAGTTATGCAAAAATTGCTATTGCGATAATGTTCGCTTGTGAAAAAATACGTCTTTTGTTGCGCAAATAAGTGTAAAGAAAGGGAATATCGATTTTCGCAAAGGTTAAGATAAGATAAACTTATCGTTTCGATAAAACGCCATTGGCCATCGGTTAAATTAGTTTATAAACGCTTTGTTATTGGTTTTATTGCCAAGTACTGTGTCTTTTACGATTCGATTTCTATGAATCGCGCATTCGTACTTCGTTTGTAGATATAAACGTCTAACGTGTATAGTTACTTGATAGATGATAATCAACTAATCGTCGACTAGCTATTCGTGTTTCATAGCATGAAACGTGAATCATTGTTAAGAAAAACAAATTGTTCTAGAAAAGATTGAAATTTTAATCAATTAGTATTAATTTTTAACTTAATTTATATTTTTTTTATTATATTATAACATATATTTTTTATATATTATAAAATTCAAATTCAACAAAAAAAAATAGTACAAAAAAAAATTTAAGTGAAAACATCATGCGTTATAAAAATAATACAAAATTTTTTATACTAATGCATAATATAAATAATAATATAACAATGCACGATTCTTCACGATTCTGTATTCTTAATTTTATTAATTTATAATAATTAACAATAAGCATGGAATATATTATTCCAAGAACCAATTAAACCATCTGGAAATTACAATGATATTGTTTAAAAAACAACATCAACTTGATTAATAATTGGTACGGATCGAATAAAAGTCATCCAAGATTTTTTTGCCAGTTTATTTCTCTTGAATCTCGAGATCTATATCTAAACGACGAGATTAAAGAGTTTCTACTTATCTTCCGATGAAGAAGTTTCCAGTTACAATTTCTGATGTGACCGGAAATTCAACTTGCACGTAGAATGAAGTCAGTATTATGCAACAACCGTCTATTGATGCCATGATAGGGGAAAGAATGCATGTTGAATTTCTTATCAACTATTTGCATCGTTGGTTATCATTGTACATTAATTATATGATGTATGATCTTTCGAATTGCTTCATTTTTCCTATTGTCTTTGT